TAGCACTATTTCGGAGATCACCACATCTCCTCATCAGACTTCTTTTTTCTAGACTTCAGCAGGAATCGAACCTGCGAATTCGATGTTCAAAGTCAGAAGCGTTAACCACTGAGCTATGTACATCCCGTAAACTCTTGTTGCTAATTCATTTTCCTTATTCAACCAACTACTATCAAGTGCAGCTGATTTGCCGCTATTTAAACTCGACAGCGTGGTTGTTGTTGTCAATTCTATACATCCATTTGCTTATTTGCTTTTTTGTATAGTTTCAGGCAGGCTCTTCCTAAATATTTATATATTTTTGATCGAATGCGATTATTTCCCTTCAGAGGTCTTCAAAACATAAAATTATGATGAATATTCATTGTACTAACAAATTTTTCATAGCCGATAAACTTATATTTTATATACAAATTTGTGTTATTTTATGTGTTCGTAATCACATTACGCACGATCAGCTAAAACGATTTATTTAAATTTTTTTTATTCTGCCCGATGTTTTCTGCAGGTGCAAAAGTGTGAGCTCCCAAAATATTTTTAGAATTACATATCGTATTAATTTTAATTTTTTAGATAAGTGGCAACTCTATCCAGAATTAAGCAGGGTTTAAGGCTTTATTTTAACACCTTTTGTTTGAAACTCATATAATATTTTACTTATACGCACGTAGCATAATTTGAAATTTCTTATTATTATTATGGACAACTATACCCAAAAATATGTATATGCGGACTAAAGTATATTTTAAAACCTTTGTTTGTGTACATACACATTCAGTTTGGTACACATATTGTGTTTTAAATAAGCTACATATATATTAATAACCGTTGTTCAATTTTATTTTCAGAAGGTGGCAAATCCGTTTCAAAATATTTTCAAATCCCTTCAAGCTCTTTTTGTTTTGATGTAGAAGTTTTTATAATATATTATGCCTTTAAATAATTTTAAAGTTTGAAATAGCTGGCAAGCCTATCCTTCACAATTTTTTGTACCACAAACCCAGAGAAAACATTGAGTAGAATGAAAAAAGAAATTAATAATGAACACATGAAAAAATTGATTTTTGTTTTTGAGAGATAAGGCTATCGTTTATTAAAACCTACTTAAAAAATATTTATTTTTAACGATTTCACAGCAATTCCACGAGAAAAAAATAATTTTATCGTGTAAAATAAATGGAAAATTTCAAAGATCGAAAAAACCTTAAAACCTACTTAAAAAATATTTATTTTTAACGACCGGCCTAATGTACATCTGTGCGAACATACATATGTATGTATGTACACAAATGCATGTCATTGTGTATAAGTATGATAAAAATATTAGTTGTTTTTTGTTACGCCTATTTCGATAAACTAAAATTGTTTTTACTTTATGAGCTCTTGGCGGGCATGCGGGGTGAAGTTTAAGGGCACGCACGCGGCTGCATTGCGTGTTTTTTTTGTTTTTTTTTTTAGTTGAAGGGTGCGGAGAGTTTGGATGGCATTGCTGCTACTTGATTTCTTCATTAACGTGAATGTTTACATTTGCAACATTTGATAGGCACTCGATGATGTATAGTGTGAGTGATTTCTAAATGCAAAAATTGTAAATATGCATAGTTAAGCGATTGAAGTGGTCTCGGATAAAATACAGCACTGTTATTTTTGTTTTTCTTTTGCGCATGCAAATTTGATTGTACCTGGCGAATGTTGATGTATTAGGGTACTTGATTGGCTTCGCATCTACAGACGAAAGACTTACCTATGTGTGTATTAATACATTTTTAGATAATTTTATTTACCGCAAATTCATTAAAATTTGTAATATTTTCACAGCCCTAGATAATGCCGACATTAAATTATTGAATCTATTGAAACTGAATCAATGGCCATTGTGGTCGAATCGTACCGCAAAAGTTTGATCCCTGGTCCGAGAAACAACCAAACAAAGTGTTTTTTTTCTGCTGGCGGTCGCCCCACGGTAGGCAATGGCAACGGGCAAGCCCTCGAGTTTGTTTTTGCCATGAAATACAGCTTCTTATAAATATACACCACAAATCGAAGGTGAAGCTGGGCAAAGCGCTAGCAAATGTGTAAGCGCTAAATATTTTTTTACCTATTTGTTCACCTGTTGAACAAGTGGCTCATAAATGGTTAAGATTTAAGCAAAAATATTAAACAGCTAATTTTTCTAGAAGTCATTGTAAAAGTAAATCTTCTGCGGTTTAAGGCGGAAGAATAGTCATACATAAATATATATGTACACATAAAGTATGAACAATAAAAAATAATAAAAATTTTCAGCAAAAAGCGGAAATCTTACTTTAGAAGAAAGTGTGAGAAGATGTAGCAAAATCTTTCTTTGCATAGTTTTAAGGCCTTAAAATTACTACTAAAGCTGATCCAGCGGTTAGAGAGCTTAGTATAATTCAAACTAGAGAGGGCAATTTAAAATTAACAACACTCAAAATGAACGACTAAATACCCATCACTTGTTTGTGTGTATTAGGATTTCCGTTATTTAACAAGTAATTTTTTTTTTAGCGCCGCCATAGATTTTAACATTCTGACCAAAACTCTATATGATACCCAAAAAGTACTTAGAATTAATTATCAACCATGCCTTCCTATGGATATTAAGTACATGGGAGTTGGTGGCAACCCTTCCAAAACTTTTCGCCAGCTGTAATCTTGGTTAAACCCCTTTAATTTGAAACCCATGTTGTAATATTTCATTTATTTTATTATTTTTTATTGAGTTTAAGATTTTAACACAGGCGGCAACCCTCCCAAAAATAACTCTAACAGTGACTTAAATCCACTCTTGCACTTCTTGTAATATTTCATTTATTTTATAAATTTTATTGAGTCTATGATTTTCAAGCAGGTGGCAACTCTACTCAAAATTATTTTCGACTTTAAGCCTTTTTACAGTTATTAATTTCGAAAATTTTCAAACACGTGGCAACCCTCCCCATTTTTTTGATATAAATGATCCTGGTATTATACCGAAGAAGCCAAAAAAATTACTCAGATCGGTTCAACCGTTCTCGAGTTTTGAGGCCTCGTACAAACGAACACAACATTTTTATATACATATGTATGTACTATTTATATATTTACTATTTATATATGTAGATATAGATAGACAGAAGATTGCCATTGATGCACTCTGTCTGTAAAAATCGTTAAAGATTAGCTAAATAACAGTAGTTCATATTACTAAATGACGTAAATAGATTATAGCTTTAATGTGCAATTGAATGTAGTTAATCGACATTTTCATGACTTTTAGTTATGGTTTTGAATTGACATTAAAAATTTATAACCGTAAGTACGTAGAAATGTATCTACATGTGTGTACTATATACATATGTATATGTGTTATGAACGTTTCAAATGATTCTCGGTTGGTAACCGCAAACTTGTCCATACATTTCGCGAGAGTGTCATGAATTAATATTTCTATATAATTTTTTATAAGCTAAATAATCGTAGATACCAGCTTAATAGGCAATGAAATTACGTCTGAGCTGTTATAAGATTACTTGATTTTGTTGGCATGTGGAAGATTGGGATGCTTCGAGGCTTCGTCACGGTCTCGAAACATATTTGAATAAAATTAAAAATAAATAAAAATTAAATATTTGCACTTTAAACATTCAATTTTAATTTTGCGTTAGACTGGGTGTCAAGTACAATTTTGTTTCATATTGAAATTTACCCGGTGTCTGGTGCGCCCTATTATTGCCGCGCATAGAGGAGGACCTCAAGTTTTAACCCGCCTCCGAACAGCAGAAGAGTTTATACAAGAGGGTTTTTATTACAAAAATATTCTCAAAGTGTTTGTATCCACAACCAGAAGGCGACCACTGCAAGAAAAGAATTTTCTGGTGGTGGCCGAACCAGCAATTGAACCTGGGTAGTGCCCAGTTGTAGGTCGCTCCTCTAACCATTCAGATCCTTCTGATAAGTTCAGAGGAGATGAAGATGATTTTCGTTGATCCCATCAAAGTTTGCTTTCTTTACGATGATCCCTCCTTATAGGTTTCTGAGCTTTTAATGTTAGTTTTCCTTAAACTTAAGACTTCCTAGTGGGAGAAAATTCTCCTTTCTTTAAATTTGGAGCGGACACAGTTGGTTTCTTGGCTCTGGTTTCTTTTCCTCACTGACATTAATAAATTTTACGGTTCTAGTATCTACACTAGGGTGGTCCAAAAATGCAGGTGAAAAAGGAAAGTCGAAATTTTTATGCTCTCATCCGCTTGGATTGTTCCATACCGAAAAAAATTGCACCCCTATTTTTTATTTAAAATAGAGATCGCCCAAAATTTTCCATGAATTTTATATGGGGAAAAAACAACTTTTCGTAGAAATGGTATAGAAGTCTTAAAAATCAATATTTTTCTATCGAAATTTTTTTTTTTATCTGGCGAAGATTCCCAGTAATAATACCCAATTGTTTATTTAACCATTTTTTATCGCAACTATAATTTATAGGTACGCCAAAACCCCGAAATATGCAAAAGGGGGACCAATAAAAAATCGTTAGTATTAAAAAATGGTTAAATAAATAATTGGGTATTATTATTGCAAGTCTCCTGAAGAGAACCAGAGTTTCCCGATCGAAAAATAACATTTTAAAAACTAAATTTTAAAAGCTTGAGCGCTTTGAGTGACCTCTAAATATTTTTTGATTTCAAACTACAAAAATAGGGGTGTACTTTTTTCGATAAAGAACAATCCATTACAATTCCGACTTTACTGTTTTTGGACCACCCTAATCTACACTCAGACCTATACAGATGATCATTACAGGCTCTTTTCTATTAATAGTTTACAGCAAAGGGCGAATGCCACTAAATGTGATTGACACTCTGTGTATGGAGAATGGGCTGTCCACTAACTCAAGCAAAACTAGTGTTGTGCTCTTGACGAGAAGAGGAAGGTTAAATGTCCTTGTTCCCCTTACCCTTAGACGAGTATGATTTCTTGCGAATTAAAGTGTTTAGGTTTAAAATGTTGAGTTCCCTGAGGTTGGGTGCTAGCTTAGCCCACAATACATTGTGGAATCTTTACTAATGGTTCCAAAACTGACAGCGCCTCAGGATCTGGAGCTTATATCGAAGGTAACGGGGCAAAATTTCAGTTATTTCGTGGGGAATATGCCTCGGTATTTCATGCAGAGGCATTAGCGGTCCCCAAAATCATGGACTGCGTGATGGAAAATACGTAGAGAGGTAGAAGTTCACGTGTCTCTAGCCAAGCTGTGCTACTTCCAAAGTAGTTCGGAAATGCAAGTCTCCACTAAATTATGTTGGATAACATAACGAACTTGTTTATATGGATGCCAGGTCACTCGCGTCTAGGTACCTGGTGATGAGAGATCTGACCACTTGGCTGGAGAGGGCTCGGAAATTCCTTAGACCGCAGTCTGGCTAGGTATTTGCTTTCATTGAGCAGATTGGAGAACTTGTGGACCTGTGTGTTGATCGGTCGCTTCGCTTGACGCAAACTATTGAATTTAATGAGCATACATGAAGTTGTCATATATGCGCTCACTTCCTTCTAGAGGATAAGTTGTCGGAACACTTTTTGTTCTTCTAATCCGCCATTGCAAGGATGACGTATTGAGGTATGTAGTATGATTTTAGGTGTCCAAAAATTTATGTACGCTGCTTGCACTAATCTATAAGGTTTGTCACAGACTCAGTTTCATACCAAAGGCTGGGACCCTGGCGAAAGTTGTGTTCATTCTCTGAGGCTATTCTCTGCGCCCTTACTCATCTTAAGCTGCAACACCCTCTAGTAGAATTTCTCCGACGCCTTTAAGGCAGCAGAACCAAACACCCGCAGATGAGGAAGGTATTCGTAAACTATACACAAACCGTGGCAGCCCGCAAGGTGGTGTCCTTTCCCCACTCCTTTGAAATGTAACGGTGAATACTCTGCCGTCATGGTAGCAGCGCACAGGTTGCCCGATCATGGCTTACGCTGAGGATCTTGAACCGATGGAAGTGGTTAAGTACCCCTAAGTTATATGCGACATGGTTTAAGACACTTTACGCGTTGCGGTAACTTTGCCGAAGGCATCAGGCCTTAGCGCCAATCCGGAAAAAACTTGTATATTTTTTTTTTTCAAAGAAAATTAAATTTACCCGGGAACAACGGTGCTACACTGAGTTTTTTGGATGGAGTTAGAAACTAGTTTCAAAAAAAGTACGCTTTTTTAGGTCACTTGATCCTTTCAAGTCGTTAAACTAATTTTTGCTTGTTTGGAGTTTTTTTTTAAATTAGCGCGGGTTCAATCGCCATATTTAGAATTGAAATTTGATTTCAAGTCCATTGGCGAAAATCCTCCACTGAAACCTCCGCGAGGATGCCGACTGGTAATGGGTACCACAGAGCGAATCTCTGCGATACGGAAATTATCTTTTATCATAGATATGAGGTAAATTTACCGGAGCCAGATAAAAGTGTAATGCGCTTCCGTGCAGATGATCGGCCAGGCTGGGGGC